ATTATAAGTCATACATAAGATTATTCAGCCTGCTTTTAGACACTGTTACACATTTCAAGCTTTAATCTCTCTTATTCTATTTTTTAGATAATTTTGCTTCTTTCTAGAAATATATGCTTATAATTAGAAAAATAATCAGCCAACAGAAAAAGACGTTCATATGTTCATAATCATATGTTTTGGTACAGGAGATACTACATAAATTTGACTATATTCAAGGGATTTTAACTTGTTAAGATGGCATTTTATTGCAGTGAACATTAACATTTTAATCATTTTAGTTACGTTTAATGTTTGTTCTCTGTCTTTAAGTTAATAAAACAAGCAACAACAACAAAAATGCAGCTTGTCACGTAACCAAAAAAACAAAAAGCGCAAAGTCCTGAAGATGTTCTCGTGGCAGAAAACCTACTGACAGTTACAAACCCTGACACTGGAGACTCCTTCCATAAATGTTAAAATGTTTACGATCGGCATTTTATTATTAGATTATGTATGTGAGGCAGTCTCCACATAGAGCTGTTACTATTGAAACAATAGCATATTAGAGTGAGTACATTAATATAAACCTGTGTCTTATAGCCTTCAGTACTATCAGAGCTGCTGTTACAGAAAACAAATCAACACCTTCTGACCAATCCGAATCGAGAATTCAAAAGCGCTGTGGAATAAATCTTAATAAATCACAATTTCTTTTCCTTCATTCAGCAAAACCATTAATTATTAAAGCAAATCATGAGTGAAATCTAAATAAAGGGATGAGATGAACAGGCCGTGTTTCTCATAGTGTGATTACTCATCATTCAGAAAAAGATGTAGATTTCACCATCAATTTTTTTTCTAAATCTCCAATGACTGTAATTTGTCCATTTCTTTAAAGTGCAGAGCACAAAGCAGAGGAAATGGATGTTTTTAGGACCTGAATTACACATTTCTCTTCATAGCACGATTTTCTCAAGTGCAGTTGTCATATATTGGCGATTGCTCATCTTTTTTCTTGAGAAATGAAGCAAAAGCGCTTGTTTTAGCCAATTAGAAAGCATTTTAGGATTGTGTCAATCGAGAATGGCTTAATTTGTACTCTCTTCCTCTTCTCCTTTATACTTATCTGCCTCACTCTCTCTCTCATTTTCTCTCTCTCCCCCCCCCCCCCCCCCCCCCCCCTCCCTCAGGGCTGTTTTTTGTCGTTCTTGCCGAACTTGTCGCTGAGTTGTTGAATGAGGTCGGCCAGTTCTCCAGTGGCCTGAGATTTCTCTTCCAGCAGCTCGTAGCGCAGGCTGGAGATATCCTGCTTTATCTCCTTCAGCTCACCTACAGTACACGTACAAAAAACACATTATGTTCACACACACAATTACACTCAAACATGCACTGATGCATATAAAGTGCAAACTGCAAACATACAAAGAGCCTGCATATTGTGCATGTGTACACATGGACATAACAAATAAACACACACACAGTCTTTTACCTTTATATGTAACATGCTCATTTCAATGTACACAATGAATTCTATGCCACATGGTGGTTCAATTTTCAGACAAGAAGGATTAAAAACAAGTAAATATTTCATCAACGACAATGTAAAGAAAAAAAGAACGTTATTTTGTGTGCAAAAATCAGAAAGTACTATTTATGTATTACAATAGATCTTCATTGCTAAAAGAAAGTCATTTGGATGAGATTTCCATAAGAATACAAATGCAACTGATGTCCCAACAAAGCACAACATAACAGCTTTGCTCTTCAGAAAATCAATGTTTTGATTTACATAATAAATTTGGTGCCAAAAAAAGAATTTATAAAAAATGTGATTTTATAAGAAAATAATTTCATGTTACAAAATACATTTTGTTCGCTACTCATGTTTTATCTTCTTCTTGTTTTATTTTAAGCTCCAATGATGTGATTTTGTCTGTGAAAAATTTGTCTGTGCACGAAAAATAACAATATTCGGTTAGCAAACGGTTTTCAGAATGTTGCAGCTCCAGGAATATTCAATCTGTCTGATTCTCTGGGTCTTCTAAGAATAATTTTATTAAAAATTATTATAAAAATGTTTTAATATAAAGAATGATTTTATATAGAATTTGCAGATGTTCCTATGAGGGTGCTGCAACAGTTTTTACACTTTATAAGAATCTTACACTAACATTTTAATAATGTTCTAATAGCATTGTGAAGCAATCTATTATTACAGCAAGTGTAATTAGAACATTTAGAATGAGTTAGTTTTGGAATGTTACAGCTAACAGAATAGTTCAGTTAGCTAGAATGTTCAGGGAACAGATTTTAAGGCTGTAATGTTCCAAAACTAATTCTATAATGTTCTAATAACATTGTGAAGCAATCCATTATTACAGAAGAAGTAACATTAGTTAGAAGTAACATTAACATTACTTTTAGAACGTTATAGTAATACCTTCTTACAACCTGTTCGATACTCACTGAACTAATAACCTTCTCTGTTTGCTGTAATGTTCCAAAATGAAATGTTCTGAGTACTTCTTCTGAAATTCTTCTGAAATAATGGATTGCTTCACAATGTTATTAGAACATTACAAATTTAGTTAGTTTTGGAATGTTACAGTCTAACCTTCTTACAACCCGTTCAATTCTCACTGAATGTTCTAATAACGTCCTCTGCAGGGTGTGATGGCATCTCATGTGTCTCTTCACACACTAAATCACTTGCGTGTATTGAATTTTTGGGTGTTTGCTTGCGCAGAGAGATAACCTGGGCAGTTTGGTGTGTCTATACATTATAACATGTCACTACAAACACAAACACACAGACACACACACACACAACCATGAGCCAAGTGACGTGCTAGTAATTAAAACAGACACTTAAGCAAACGAGATTTTTACCTTCATTAACTTCATCATTCTCCCTGTCGACCTGCGCCTTTAGAACATACCTCTTTATAAGACGCTTCATAATCTTCTGTCAGAGAGAAAGAGAAAGGGGGAGAGAGAGAGAGAGAGACAGACAGACGGAAGATGGAGAAAGAGAGAGAGAGAGAGAAAGAGAGAGACTCTGGTGAATGTTCTGTAAATCCTATTCCTGTGTCTTTCTATTGTCAGTTGTCTCAATACAGGATAACAGTGCAAGATATTTTTATCTTGTCTCAGCACATACTCACACACACACACACACACACACACACACACACACACACACACACACACACACACACACACACACACACACACACACACACACACACATGTCCAGGGTAACATTGCTTTCTGCTTACTGTCCTTCAGCTCCCTATAAAAGACTATTTTATAGCTGTTGTGTCTCCTCTGTCTAGGAACAACTGAACCTGGAAAGAACATTCAACATTGAAAGAACAGCTTATAGTCTCTTATACCACAATGCAGTTAAATTCTCAAATCAGAAGGTGTTGATTAATTTTCTACAACAGCAGCTCTGACAGTAGTCCTGGCTGTAACATCAATCACAGGTTTATCGTTTCTGTAGTAACAGCTCAATCACAGGAACTTGTACGTCAGACGCATCACATTTATTTAACTTTTATGGAAGGAGTCTCGAGTGTCAGTGCTTTGTAACAGGCAAGTTTTCCACAAATGGAAAGTTTTCAGGACAGAAGAGTTTGTGATTTGTAATCACTGGCAAATCGCTGTGGTAAAACATGACAAACATTCCAGGACATGCTGTTGTTGGAAGATAATCAGCTTTGCGGTGGTAACAGTAATTCTGCTTCATGATGGGTGTATCATTCCATCCCCAACATGGATTATTTTCCTATAACATCACCCCCTGTTGGGTTTTATTCCTGACATATCCACTATCTATACTGTATGAGACTCTGTCACTATCTAATATTTAATATAATTTCCATGCTATAACATGAGAATATAATGAAACTATGAGAGCCTCATCATTCACCAACACCACTACTGTCCAACCGCAGCCTCAGGACTTTAATAGCTCTACTGCCAGCAGCTTATTTTCATCAAATGAGGACTTTCTAAGAATAAACTACTTTAAGTAATGATGTTACTTCCTGGCAAAAATGCTACTGCAGACATTTTCTTCTATAAAGAATTTCAAGTATATGCTGTATATCCTGTACATCCTTTATATCTCTCTGTGTGTCTCTCTCCATACTTTCCTCTGTTTTTCTGTCTTTCTCTATGTCTGTCAGACTGTGTCTCTCCTTCCATCTTTCTCTCTCTAGACTTTGCCTATCCATCTCCCTCCTTTTCTGATTGTCTCAATTTCAGACTTTACATCTGTTTCTCCCTCCCCCTCCTTTGCTCTGTTTGTCTCTCTGTCACTGTCTTTCTCTCTGTCTCTCAGACTTTGGCTGTCTCTAACTCTCCCTCCTTTTCTCTGTTTATCTCCATCTCTTTCTCTCTGTCTGGTCATCTCTATCTCCCTGTCTGGCTGTCAGTCTCTCTGGCTTTCTCTCTGTACCTGGTAGCGTGTGGGGTTTTTGATGGGTTTCTTCACTGTGTTCTCCTCTCTGATTCTTGAGGGAGCCCGGTATCGATCCAGCTGAAGAGAAAGCAAGGCAAGAAACAAAATGCTCAACAAGAAGAACATGCATTAAAAAGAAACAAAAACGTCCGCAGTCTTTCACACCTGTTCAATAACAATAGGTCTACATCTTACAGTCTGTAATGCTTATAAAACTAGCTAACACTTTACATAAGGGTGGTGTTCATAGGACTACATGTCACCTGCATAAGCCTTTTATAAGAAGTGAAACACAAACATTTATTTCAACAGGCATCAGCTGCCAAAAAGACTGTATTTGTCAGTTTTTGTTGTCAGGCTGAGCTAAGTGAAATATTGTTGAAGATGTGGTTGACAGGTTATTTCCAATAATTCCAATAGACTTGCTATATGCATGTGCCACAGGCGCCCCTTACTCCCGAGTCTAACCTCTTGAGAGGAAGTGGTCCAGACACACACTCCATTAGAGGTAAAGTACTTTTTTAGTTTTATACTTTTTTCTTTGTATGGGTTCCTGGAGAACTAGTGGTTACGCCACAGCACTCTCACTGCTGCGGCTCGGGTTCGATTCCTAGCCAGGGAACCTACCCCAGCCACTGGGGTTGCATGCAACAGTGCGCTCACAGTGCCAATCCCAAGCCCGGATAAAATTGGGGAGGATTGCATCAGGAAGGGCATCCAGCGTAAAAACTGTGCCAAATCAAATAGGCGGACCAATGATCTGCAGTGGCATCCCCTAACGGGAGCAGCAGAAAGAGCAGCAACAACTTTCTTTGTATACTTTCAGTGAGACAACTACAGCTTTCTAACAATCTTGACATGCTGCAACTTTCTAATGTTCTTAAAACATATTCTTAAATATTGTGAGTCATTTGCTGCCACTATGCACATTCTCTTAAAGAAAATGTCATGTTAAAATTGCAGGTTTTTCAGTTCATTTCAGAGATTTCTTACCTTTAATGTGATATAGCAACCAAGAAAAGTCAAGTGAAAAACAAGTAGAAATATTTTAGGGGAAGAAAAATCTTACAATAACCTGGTTGCACAAGTGTGCACACTCTCTTCTAATAGAAAAAATGTGCTCAGAATTAACCCCAAATAAAGAGCAGCAATTTCTGTAGGATTTTCTTGACATCTTCTTTCAAAGCATGTTCAAAGGTATTAATCAGGAGATGGGTACAAAAGAATTTCAGAAACATTCGATGTACCAAGGAACACCATGAAAGCCAACATCAACAACTGGAGACAATGGGGCACCACAGTTTTATTACAGGATGCCCCTCCAAAATTGACGAAAGAAGAAGATGAAAACTTATCAGGGAGGCTGCTAAGAGACCTATGGCAACTTTAAATTAACTGCAGGAATATCTGGCAAATACTAGTTATTCCCTGCATGTGACAATAATCTCTCATTCTTCACATATGTGGGCTATGGGGTAGGGTTGTCAGGACCAGAGCAAGATACAAACCCAGGATCTCTGGGTGCAGATCTAATGCTCTACTGATGGAGCTAAACACAGCTAAGAGGACCCAAAAGCAGAGGCTGGTATAGGAGTAGGTTGAATGGTTTAATTGGGGACGAGCACAAAAAGGCAAGGAATGACAGCAGGGTGACTGGTAGCAAAAGGCAAAAATTCCAAAAGGGAAAAAAAAATAAATAAATAAAACAGGCAAGCAAAAACCTCAAACAATGCAAAGCTCAGAAGACATCAAAAGATAAAACACAAAAGCTGGAGCAAAAATCCCATGAAGGAAACAAAATACAAAAAACAGGGCAAAGATCCAAGGCAGAATATTATCGGTAGCAGTCCATAAAAAAAGAACTAGTCAAAAATGACAAAAAACAGAAGAGCAGGGCAGAGACTTACACAAGGCCAGAACCAAGGCAAAGACTGAGCAAAGACTCTAACAAACAGGGCAACTTAAGTACACAGACAAATGAGACACAGGTGAAACACATTAACTGGAGCTCTAATAGAAAGTCCTCAGGGTCACCATCAGGTGGCCAAAAGGCAGAATACAGTCTGAAACCTGACAGGACCCCCCATTTATGAACGTCTCCTGACGTTCCCAGCTGGACGATCAGGGAGTTGGGTATGAAAGTCCCTAATGAGGTCCTTGTCCAGGATATGTCGGGCAGGAACCCAGGAGCGCTCCTCTGGATCATACCCCTCCCAATCAACGAGGTACTGTAGGGCTCCGCCGCGGGCTTTGCGGGAGTCTAGGAGGCGATGAACAGTGAATGCAGGCTGACCCTCGATGATACAGGGTGGCGGTGGTGGTTTAGGGGCAGGGGCTAGAGGACAGGAGACAAGTGGCCTCAATAGGGACACATGAAATGTTGGGTTGATCTTCATAGAGGCAGGCAAATGAAGCCGATAGGTCACAGGATTAATCCTTCGAACAACTTCGAAGGGGCCCACAAAGCGAAGGGCCAGCTTGCAAGATTCCACCTTTAGGGGCAAGTCCTTGGCAGAAAGCCACACTCTGTCCTGGACGAAGGGTAGGTACCAGTCTGCGCCTACGGTTAGCCTGAGTTTGCTGCTGCCGAGATGCCTGTTGAAGGTTGTGCCGAGCTCTTTTCCAAATTCCACGAACCCTCTGGATGAACTGCTGGGCAGATGGAACCCCTACATTGGTTTCTTGTTCAGGGAACAGTGGTGGTTGGTAACCAAACTGGCACTCAAAAGGGGACAGGCCTGTGGATGCGGAGCGCAGAGTGTTTTGGGCATACTCCGCCCAGGGCAGATGAGAAGACCAGGAGGTGGGATTGGATGCCACCAAACACCACAGCATCGTCTCCAGAACCTGGTTGATCCTTTCCGTCTGACCATTAGATTGAGGGTGGAACCCAGAGAACAGGCTGGCGGTGGCCCCAATCAACTTGCAGAATGCTTGCCAGAAGCGTGATGTGAACTGAGGCCCCCGGTCTAAAACAATATCCTGTGGTAGACCATAGACTCGAAAAACATGCGTGCATATTAGTTCAGCAGTTTCTCTAGCAGTGGGGAGTTTGGTCAATGGAAGAAAGCGACAAGCCTTAGAGAACCGATCAACAACAACAAGGATAACTGTATTACCTTGAGATGAAGGCAGTCCAGTGATGAAGTCAAGGGAAATGTGGGACCAAGGCCGTCGGGGAATGGGCAGAGGATGCAGCAACCTTTGAGGACGGAGGTGTGAATCCTTGCTTTGGGAACAGGTCTGGCAAGCAGAGACAAATGCCCTGACATCCTCCCTGATGGTGGGCCACCAGAAGTGTCTCTGCAGGAATTCCAGGGTCCGCTTCACTCCCGCATGGCAGGTGAGATGGGAGGAATGACCCCACTGTAGGACCTGAGAACAAAGAGACAACCAGCAGGAACCCCGACAGGACTGGACTCACCTCGCAGGGCCTGTTTAACGACAGTTTCTATTCCCCACCGAACTGGCGCCACAATCTTAGTGCTGGATAGAATGGAACTTTCGAGGGTCTTCCTGGGGGGAAAACTCGAGACAGAGCATCTGGTTTCTGGTTCTTAGAGCCTGGGCAGTAGGAGAGGGTAAACTGGAATCTGTTAAAGAACAGGGCCCAATGGGCCTGACGTGGGTTGAGTCATTTGGCCTGCTGGAGATATTGGAGGTTTTTATGATCAGTCCATACCACGAAAGGATGTTGGGCTCCCTCCAGCCAGTGCCTCCATTCCTCCAGAGCCAGTTTCACTGCGAGCAGCTCCCTGTCTCCCACATCATAGTTCCTTTCAGAAGGTGACAATCTGTGAGAAAAAAAAGGCACAAGGGTGAATCCTATTATCAGCCCCTCTCTGTGACAGCACCGCCCCTACCCCCAGATCTGAGGCGTCAACCTCCACAATGAAGGCCCGGTTAGAGTCAGGCTGAGACAGGACAGGAGCAGAGGTGAATCTGTGCTTGAGCTCTTGAAAAGCGTCATCTGCTTCTCTGGTCCAGACAAATTGATTATTTTTTTCCCTTGGTGAGTGCAGAGAGAGGGGTGGCCACAGAGCTGAAGTTGCGAATGAACTTCCTGTAAAAATTAGCAAAACCCAAGAAATGCTGTACCTCTTTGATGGACCTGGGTTGTGGCCAATCCTGAACTGCTGTAGTCTTCTTAGGGTCTATCTGGATACTCCCCTGTTTAATGACAAAACCAAGGAAATCAACTACAGAGGAGTGAAAGTGGCATTTTTCTGGTTTGACATAAAGGTGATTGCTTAAGAGCCGTTCGAGAAACTGGCGGACATGGGACACATGCTCATGAAGAGATCGGGAGAAGATTAGAATGTCGTCCAAGTATACAAAAACAAATTTGTTTAAAAAATCCCGGAGAACATTGTTAAGAGCCTGGAAGTCTGCTGGGGCATTAGTGAGACCAAATGGCATAACTAGGTACTCATAATGGCCAGTGGGAGTGTTAAAAGCAGTCTTCCACTCATCACCCTCCCTGATGCGGACTAGGTGGTAGGCATTGCGAAGGTCCAGTTTAGATGGTGGCTCCCTGCAACAGATCAAAGGCAGTAGCCATAAGAGGAAGAGGGTATCGGTTTCTCACTGTGCTTTTATTCAACCCCCGATAATCAATACAGGGGCGAAGACGAAGAAGATCCTTCTTGCCCACAAAAAAGAAACCAGCCCCAGCAGGAGATGTAGAGGGGCGAATGAGTCCTGAGGCCAGTGCATCTCTGATATATTTGTCAATGGCAACAAGCTTGGGTGCAGACAGAGAAAAAATATGCCCCCTGGGGGTGCATGTGCCTGGGAGCAGGTCAATGCCACAGTCATAAGGGCGATGAGGTGGCTTTTCCTTTACTGAAATCCTCCTTAAAGTCCATGTACGGGGAAGGGACTTGAGATAAATCTAGGGACTCGGGAGGTTTGGGAGCAGGTGAGATACTAGGAAAGTGGCAGGTAACAGAACATGTGGAACCCCACTCAATAACAGGTAGACCAGTTAATGTGAGGATTATGATATGTAAGCCAGGGGTAACCAAGGACTACTGGAAACTCAGGGCAGTGGATGAGGTGGAATTGAATCTTCTCCTGATGTTGCTGGGCAGACATAAGCAGCGGAGTCGTGATCTGGCACACGCTGCCTTTACCCAGGGGCCGACCATTGAGGGCAGTAACAGACATGGGAGAAGGCAGAGGAGAAAAAGGAACTTGAAGTGAGTGGGCTAATGAAATGTCCATAAAGTTGCCAGCAGCTCCGGAATCCACGAGAGCCGTAAGATGGTGTACTTTAGCTTTACCCCAGGAGATAGAGATAGGCAAAAGAAAGCCTGGACTGGAGCAAGTTTGAGGGGAGGTAGTTCCCGTCACAGCCCTCCCTGTGCTGGACAGGGTCGGGCTTTTCCCGACAGCTCTGGACAGCTATAACGAAAATGGCCTTGCTTTCCACAGTACAAGCAACAGCTTTCCCCTCATACGACGTTCACACTCTGAGTGAGAAAGGCGGTTTGAAGCACAGAACGGCGTGACGGCGAGGAAGACCACCCCTCCTCCCAATGACCAGGTGCTGTGTCTAACCATGGCCGACGTGAGGAAGACTCTACACAGAGTCAACCCACGGAAGGCTGCTGGACCAGA